GTATTTTTGATATATTTAAATTCATGTTTGTAGTCAAGAGACGATTGATGAATAGCAATTTAAGTTTTGTAACTAAAACTTGTAAATTTATGAAAGTTTGGTTAAAAAATCAAATGAGTGAACATATTGTAATCCCGATGCCACTGATCAATTCTTAGTTATAATTCTCAGCCCATAATAATTATCTCAATTCATACAATTGTGACGATTAATGATTTCGCTTTTAATTATTATTCTTTTCCAAGATATAGTAAATGATTACCACGAAAAGATCATATTCATAATCCGAATGCATATGACAAACATGCATTGACATTTAGTATTATCACACATAATTGCACACGTCATAAATACTATTCTTAACATTTATTGCCCGTTTGTTCCAATAACAATGTTCTATCTATCGTAGACTTTTCAACACTATGAATAAGTAACTTATTGTTCTAATGGTGTGTAAACATTAAAATAATATAATTATACATATTAATGGAATCACAATGCAAGAATTAAGATAAAAATACAATATCGAATTAAAAACTAAGAATTTGTCATCTATCAGATACAAAAGAATTTAGCGTATCATGTTAATGTAAGAAATACAAGAAAAAAAATTCATCACCCGAATCATTAAACCTTGAAGGAAATCTGGAAATCTTCAATTAATGCCTCAAATTCAAATTCAAGTAATTAATTATTTATGCTTTAATGTATCCTCTATCTTTTTCTCTCTAAAGTAGGCTTTCAATATGATAAGAATTAGGTTTTTCATGTTTTGGCCGACTCTTGATATAAATAGGGTGCCAAAAGATTACACACCAAGAGTTTCCAAAACGAAATAAAGAAACAAATTTTTTTTTTTTTTTAAATCATGCGTACGCATGGTTCAATTAGTGTGTACAAATAGTTCAATTGAATTGGCCTTTGAAGTGCAATTTTTCAACCTTGCATACGTAAGGCCTGTAGGCCCACAAGTACGAATGGTTCAATTTTTGGGGTCCAATTTGCCTGAACTTTCTCAAGTGTGTGTTTTGATCAATTTTCAAAATTTCTCATTCCATTGACTTCTATTCAATTTCAATTGACTTTTAGTGTTCTCAAATCATTGTCTTACAATCCGACTCAACTTTTGAATGATTGCATTTTAGTACTCAAACTTTGGATTTGTTTCATTTTAGCACTCTATGTTCTTTCTTCCAATTCTTCTTTGAAACAAGAATTTTTCTTAATGAAAACAATAAATAACAAATTAGGTACTAATCCGTCCAAAACATAACAAAATAGCATCATTTAGGTTTCCAAATAAGTGTAGAAACTACACTAATCATTTGGTCTTTACCACAAACCTTGATTGACATCATACATAGGAAGCCTAAATAACAAGGTCAGAGCTCAAACAAAGTAGTTTATCGAGTAAATTCTATTCACGATAATCTTTACTTTAGTATCAATCAGGAAAATGTCTCAATTTCGTTTAATTGAGGATTTAATACGATTTCAATCAGGTAAATACACTTTAATTTCATTACAAGACATCTTTGTCCAAGTCCAATTATGAGTGTTGATAACGTGACATTCCCTTAATGGTCACCACATGTGTCGTTAGTTGCTGACGTAAAATTTATACAACTTCAATGAAATAAGTGACGAGCTTCCTATATCAACTATCAGTTCATCGATTCTTATAGAATTACACGTAGTTATCCAATTAGAATTAAATTAAAATATGGCTATTCGATTGAATATAATTGAAGTGCGATTATTCGATTGAGAATAAAATCTACGTTGTTAAGTTTGCAAGTCCGTGTTTCTTTTGGAAATTCCAACTTCCAAAATTCTGAAAATTAACCTAACACGCATAATGAAATCTTAACATCAACGAGGTTGAAAGTGTGGAGCAAATTTTACATAATGAGTTACATAATATTATATGTCATTCTATTATTTGTCAGTTTAAAATATAATTAACGTTTTCATCAAATCTTTTCATCTACATCACTTTATGTAATTTTTTGTGCGCAAATAGCGTAATCATATATCCACAAACTTGCCAAATCAGAATTAATCCTATTTTAGTTTTTACACTACAAACCTCGGACCTCCACGTGGAATATGCAAAAATGAAAAATAAAAAAAATTCTCAAATTCCCTCTGAAATTGGTTCCAGAGAAGGTGTCCATGGTCTTAACCGTTGATTGGGAATCGGTGCAACAATTGTAAGTATTATGCCCTAGGTCCAATCGACTTTGGACATAAATACTTTTATATATAATTAATGTAATTAAATGGCAGATCTATTATTTAATTAATAGACAATTAAATAAATAATAGAGTCCGTAGATTCAAATATTTGTAATTTATTAATCACAAGGAGTTGTGATTGTGAGATACAAATTACATCTGATTGAATCTTAAATCATCCGTGGTCGTAAGTAATAACGAGATACGGATATCGTTATTACGGTTAGACCATCACGTGTGGCATTTCTTACTTGTGAAGTAAGTAGCTGATCTCACAAGTTAAAGTGTGGTGACACTTAAATGAACACGTGGATGTTTGTTATAGAACACAGAGGGAGTCAGAGAAATGAGAGTGTTGACTGGAACGTGTTGGACCAAAGGAGTGGTCGCGGCGTATAGTGTAATTCACGCGGATTTCCATTTCCCCCTCTAGAGCGGGTAAACCATGACGTCAATATACACTGATTATCAATTTATAGATATTTATATTTTAGTTTGAGTTCCATTTTTTTCATCAAAATACATTTTTCAATTGTGATTTGACTTTACTTCAACAACGTATTTTTCAATAAAATAATATTACATACAAATTCATGACTTTTCTCTATTTTTTAATTATACATTTTCTATCAATATACTTTTTTGATGAGGATGAAACTCAAACAAGGGCTTAATTTGATACATGAAATTTTCAAAAATTGCACATAGTAATAGGGCTTGAATAAAGCTTCTATGTACCTAAAATAAAGCGTCACATGTGGTTTTATCATCTCTCTCGTAAAAAGATATTCAAATGGACAAATAAACTCAAAAAGAAAGTGCACTTGAATATGAATTAAGGACTTGCACTCATCTCAGTGAAGTTGGAGATGATATGATGAAAGCAAACTCCTATGGTTTTAAGAGTTTCATTGCCAATTTCATCTCTTGCCAATTTCATTTAAGAGATGAGAAATAGTTGGAGTGCTCCAGTGTAGTAGATATGAGATAGGAATCTACTATCAAAAGGGTGTGTTTCAAGTAGTGGTGGCAATTGGGCTTGTCAGCTCCGGTCGTCCTGTGGCTTGGCCAAAAAAAGCTCTAGCCGGCCAGACTCGAGGCTCGGGCCAAGCCCCATTTTGGGGAGTCGGCTCGAGCACGAACCGGCCTGTTTAATTAAAAAAAAAAATGAGAGAGAAAGGAAAAGGAAAAGAGAAGGAAAAAACTTTCAACCTGTTTGGCTTCCTCAATTGCCTGTTGAGGCAGCATTTCTGCTGCCAACAGGCAGCTTAGCTACCTGAACCAGTAGCAGAAATGCTGCCAACAGGCAGTTATAAAGTTGCCTGTGAGGCAGCAGAAACAGGCAGCTAAATTTGCTGCCTGTGAGGCAGCAGCTATGGAACGGAGAGGCCAAAAAAAAGACACGAGCCAGCTTGGCTCAGTAAAGTCCAAGCCAAAAGTTCGAGTTGAGCCTTAAATTATCATCGTGCTTTTGCTCGGCTCGGCTCAAGCCAAAAAAAGCTTGATCTAAAAAAGCCCGAGCCTAAAATTTCGGCCCGACTCATTGACACCCTTAATTTCAAATGGGACTCTACAATGCCGGGGCTTTTTGTTTCAAATTATGATCTTAATAACAAGCTCATTCTCCCAAGGCATGATGACTGGAATGAGCTCGAGCTTATCTTCATACTCTGTATCAAGATGTAGTCAGAGTGAACCTTATCAACAAGTATTTATAGTTATTGAAATCAATTGGTCAGACTCTATAAAAAAAATTGCACATCGATCCGTAAGCTTGGACTAGATGAATTGAAAATATGATGATTTATACAACTATCAAATTACTCTGAATCATGCTATTTGCATAACTTTAGTTGACAACATTGTTTGAAAATTTCATATTTAACAGCATCACAATCATTCATTTCAAAAACTATTTTTTAAATCAACTGCCTAAATTTTGATAACATCAAAGTTATCAACGATGATTGACAACAAGAGTTATACAAATAGCTTAATTGAATTAAATTTAATAAAATTTGAGTGAATTACTCAAATGGTCACTGAACTTTGTAAAAGATTTTCATGGTTAATGACCCCGTGAAAACCTTTTACAAAGTTTAGTGATGAATGAGGTGATTTTTAAAGTTCAGTAACTCATAAAAATCTTTTACAAAATTCAATGACCATTTCGATAATTCACTCAATAAAATTTCTATAAACTTGGAACAAACAATCACATTGCGACGAATAGTTTTGGTTGGTGACAGCCGTGGGAGGCAAAGAAAATGCTGTCACTCTCTTTAATATATGAATTTTCACTAGATGTCATATCACACAATCAATCACCATAAATTCGTTATTCGATATCACTTTTGATTCACAAACTTTTCAACATTCTTGGGATGGCCCATGTTTTGTTTCCATTAGTGTGTCATAATGCGTTTGTGTCTTATCAATAGGCGTCACGTCAGCCCTTTTGCATATTGGTCAAGCTGAGTAGAATCTAGGATAAGACACATCATTTATATAACAAAAATGAACCTAGCAAATCTCTTAGCCTTGTTTTGTTTGTACTCAACTCACTGTTCTAGTTTGAGTCACGTCACATGGCGTCTAGAGGGTATGTAAGATGCTTCCACGTTAAGAAAAAGTCGTTTCGAAGCAAAAGTTTTGAGAATAAGTAAATACATACATACTCTCCTATCCTAGTCCTTCCTCCGTAGATCCCAGAAAATTAGTTTCTGTTGGGAAAATATGGTGCATATAACAAAACTGCAGCAGAAAGAAAGAACAGTTTTATTCTGCAAGACAAGCAAATTAACACCACCACCTCTGCAAAACCTTACACAGACAAATCCGAAATGAAAAGACAAACATTATTTTCAATTCTTAACCCCATTTCTCATAATATTTTACAAACAGTGAATACTAGAGAAAATATCCAGTTTTCGGGCTCTAACAAAATTCATAGTAGAACAGACAATTCAAATAAGGACACGACTGCGATTGAAGATAACAGAGTAAATCACAGTGAAAAGAATGAATTTTCTTCTTTCCTTGCCTTTTTCATATCCTTTGTCAAGAGACGAGGGATTGGTGTAAATTAATCGAACATTTTTCTGACGAACGTCTTACTTAATATATTGAGACACCCATTTGAAGCCGTCACCATACCCCATTTTACGTACAATGCTGCACATAAATACTTCCAATGGGCGCACATTAGAATCTGCAAGATTCACCTTCCCTTTGCCAGTGGTTACACCAGTCAGGCCAAGGTGGTAGCGCAACTCATCTTCTGAGGCAGCATACGGTATATCAATCTTGTTCCCCAAAATGAGGAAGGGAACATTGGCAAGAGCTTCATCAGAAAGGAGCGCATCCAATTCCTTCTTTGATTCTGCGAAACGCTCCTTGTCATATGCATCCACCAGATACACTACAGCATCAACCTATATAAACATTAGGGGAACGTGTTAGCACCAGACGAGAAGCAGTTATTACACGGAGGTAATTAACGAGACAAAAAGATATACAGATTTTGAACACAAAACATGGTTGCCCCATAACCTTTAGTGCCATAACTGTGCACGCTTTTAGCCACAACATGTTTTTATTGTGATGTTTATTAACATGAACTTTAAATTGATGATTGTTCCCGTTAGTGGTTTCTAATTATTAAAATGACTTGTAAATTGTTGTTTATGACCACTACTAGATTCTAAAAGATATTAAGTTTAAATATAACTACCGTAAGAACTTGGATAACTAATATTCCAGATGCTGTCCATCTCTTATAAAAAATACAGAGATCTTCCTTGACAACTGTTGATCAAATTTCAACTTTAGCAACTTTTTATTTGGAAAAAATATTAAAAAACCTAAACTACCCTTGTAAAAATTAAAAGTGCAAAAAAGCAAATAAATTTCCTAGATACCTGGACATCCTTAAAGCATTTGTGTATTATTTCAAGAATCTCATTTTCTCATCTTTCTTTTATTTTATTTGGTCTTTTGTTTCTCCTCCCTTCTCCATATGTATCGGGGTGATTGTTAGATTTCTTGATATGTATTTAGGTAGGCTGTAACTTTAGTAACGAGTGTTTCAAGTTTGGTGTGTTTGGTGATCAATGGGTCTGCCTTTGTTTTGGTTCTTGAATTCCATTTCCCCTCTGAAGACTAGCTAGCTGGTGGGCAGCCTCTTTTGTTCATGTTTTATCAGCTCGCATGGTGGACTTTAGTCCCCTCAAGTTCAATCAAAGATTTCACACGCTTCGAGGGGATGTGAGTGGAGAGGGGATTGGTTAGCGGAGGGTTGTTTAGCTAGTGGGATAAGGGTCTGTGCTGGCAGCAGGAGGGGACGAGAAAGTAGTTGGAGTAGAGACTTCAGTTATGAAATGTCCAAATATATATCAGGAAGCATAATGCTTCTAGTGATCTCCATAACGGAGAGGAAGAAATGTAACTAGAAACCATGGCAATTTACATAATGCGGTTGCAAGTACAACAACCGTATTTTACATGCTTTCAAAAAGAAACCAGCTCGAAAAGCCCACTAACATTATGAAATCGAACTTTCCAAATGAAAAATTACTCTACATAAGATTCAGAATAACCATCTCAACCAGTAATACAGATCACTGGAAATATCAGCAAAAACCAAGCTATGCAGAATTCAATTCAGTAGTACACTGGCAAGAAAGATCAGATCAATAACTTAATTTAAGCTATCTTACTCCCGTCGTACAATAAAAAAAAATTCACAGCTAACAGTGAATTCCACAGCAACAATCTTAATCCCGTTTAAACAAAAACGAAAAGAGAGACAAATTTGGATCCCGTTCAATTTAAGACACACAATTAGCGTAGGATACACACGTATCTAGATTAATTACTTGTGCAATATATATACCTTGGCATAGTAATCCTTCCAGACTCTACGGGCGATCTGATGACCTCCCAAATCAAAGGCTTTGAACTTAATTTTCCCAATACTCAGCTCTTCTGATGTCGGATATTGCGTCGGCTGATGCTGCACTAATCTCTACAAACAATCCAAGCCAACAAAACCATCAAAAAATCCATGTAAAAAAAATTAAATTTCATCATTCCCATAATTCTGAAAAAAAGGGATAAAAATTATTACCTCGTCTTTGAGCATGTGAAGGAGGGTAGTTTTACCGGCATTATCGAGGCCAAGAAACAAGATCTTGGCCTCTTTTTGCCACAAGCCAAGTGAGGCCAAGACGCCGTAAAACCAATCCAAGAGAAACATTTTTATGAGATTTCTTGACGGGAATTTGAGTGCAGTTCCAACAGATCTGGACTGGGATTTTTTAGGAGAAAGGAAATGCTGGAAGGGGAAATCGAATTGACGGTGATACAGTGATAGCGGTGAAAATGATATAATTAACCCTCAATCTATTGCCCGTGTTACGAATTGGTTTCTAGTCTTTAAAAAGCAATTAGTTAGTTGCTAACCTTTTACTATAAATAAAAATTGTCTAAAACTCACTGTGGAAACCATCCAACATTTAATAATTTTCACGTCGTCATTGTAAGCATGTTTGAAAAGTGTATAAACAATTTTAATTTTAAATAAATAAATATACAATATTTCTAAATCCTTTGAAATATAGAATAAATGGTGATTTGAATGTATAAAAACTAGCCAACATGGGCATTCTATGAAGCTAAATTTTGCTTTCTAACTTGTGTAGATGTTTGGTAATTTGAAGTGGATGTGTTCTCACGACGACGCGATAGTTTAATAAATATTTTGACCATTTTCGTTATCAACCAATTATTGTCACTATAGTAACAGGTGAGAGATTCAAGTGCAATTGCCCCTCATAAGGTGGTCGAGTTAGTGGAGTAGGTGAGCGCGAAAGTCTTTAATCACGAGTTCGAATTCCCCTACAAATACTTTCTCGTTCGAGCCTATCACATTGGGATTGTCTAGTGCGTTTTACCTGATTGACGTGATTTGCAAGTTATTGCGTCAACTTGAGGGTTTATCCAGTGCGCACCCGAAAGGTAGCGGCTGCGGGTTCCCCCGTCATCGAAAAAAAATGTTCAACTTACTCTTTGAAACGTTTAGGACCAACTTACTACAAAGACTATATTTGAGACCAATCATGCAATTTTCCAAATATTATAAATGCGTAATATTTTATGGTTCACTTGTCCATTTGTTTATTCTTTCTCGGTTTACTTTTTATTTTTCCTTTTTCTTTGTATTGATGCCATGGTGAGATTTTGACCGCAAAGTGTTCAATTTCACTGTTATTTTTACTTGCCATTTGTATTTATCGTATAATTAAAAATTACGATGAATATTCTCTTTCACTAATATTGTTTGAGTTTATTGAATTGTGTGAAGGGTTTAGAGGAGCCATTTTGGTGTTATAGTAAACAAAAGGACTAGCACACTTCCATTGAAAACTAACAATTTCTTACAAAATGACCCCAAATCATTTACCTTGTACCCCTTTCTTCAATCTATACGCATAGAAATAAGGGCCTATTTGACGACCTTTAAAATTTTAAATTGTTTACTATAGTGTTATTCTTCACCACACATTTACATAATAAAATATTCCACATAGGTAAACCAATAAAATTTCTTTACTTTTTAACAACACATTCTATTCAAAACTCCTTATTTTGTCAAATAATAGGTGACAGACAGGGGCTAATAAGAAGACCCAAAAAAAAAAAAAATGTTGATTCAATGTCTTAAATTTATTTATTTTTATTTTTTTTTAAATTGGAAGGTTGTACAAGTGAATTCAAACATGTATAATGTATTAGAATGATGATACAATATTGTAGTCAAACCTATAGGTAAAATGGTAGGAAACTTGTGAAAATAAATTTTATATGAGCCAAAAGAATTAGTCCATTTGTGTCTATTTTGCATAATTTATTTTTTAACAATTCTCCTTATGAACCTTTTTTATAATTGTTGAAACCGTTCCATTTTCAGCCTAGCAAGTTCGACCTAACAAATGTGTGCAAGGGCCTTTAAGCAGCACAACATTCGAGTAGCAGCCTGGTGCTACATAACACTTAGGATTGAAATCAATGTCGTACGAGGAATCCAAAACTTTATGCAATTAAAATTCAATCATGCTACATATACAATAAGCTTGATAGCTTCTTCGACATCATGTGAGTTTAACAACACATTTTTCAATCAATGACCAGTATTTCTATACATGCAGGTAGTCAAAACTGCTGACATCCAGCAATGTAAAATAGGCCTAATTGATTAAAATTTCCTAACTCTATTATAAATCTAAAAGGATAAATAAAAACATTAGCAGACACTAATCAAAAGAAGAAAAAAGCATAGAGAAGCTCGTTAATCATTCAATCTAACAAACATCTATATTCTACAAACACAAGTTAACAACCATGTTTTTGGAAGTGTATTTTCTTAGCAAGTTCTAGTCATTAAATTAGTTTTTACCTTTTTCCTATTATTTTACCAGAAAAGGGAAATCAGAAATAGTTTTACCAAATAAGCTAACAATCTAAATGGACTCTTGGCCGATTAATTCATATGTGCAGCATATGTGCAACATCTGTGTAGTGCGGGTGCGGAGCCAAGATTTACATTTGGGGGGGGGGGACAAAAAAAAAAAATTTGTTGGGGGCAAAATTGACATATATTATGTATATATTAAAAAAAATCAAACAATCCTAAAAATTTCCAAAAAAATTTAAAATGTTGAGGGAGGCCGCCATCCTCCCTGTAGCTCCGCCCCTGTGTGCAGGGTGTGAAGCAACAAATTCTTGAATGATAATCAATACCAAATATTTTAATTAGCTGAAAGAATGAGGGAAGTAGGCTTACTCGAGAACGTGCTCTCACGGACAGTCACAATCCTGTCTTGTTCAGGCGTGAAAGCACATGCCACCTTCTCCATTGGTTGGGGCTCTGTGATCGAAGTCGGAGAATTACCTTTCCAATTTATGCCTTCCAAAAAATCCCATTCCATTCGTTGTGCCTCTTGGCTGTATTAGGGAGGCACCATCGTATCAGATCAGCTACTTCACCAGTCAAGAATTTTTTACCTGCATTTCAGTTGACAACAAATGAATTGTAAGATAACAACTCCCTTAATATCTATGACACGGCAACGCTGAAACTAAGATTGTTCAATAAGGACCACTACATAGAATTTAATAACTCTGGACAAGATTTTAGTTTCATTTTATTCCTTGATACAGTCTCAGCACTATGTTATTACACCTGTACCTTTTCAACTGGAAGTTCGAACCATAAGCTCCTGGCCACTTGGGAATTGTTTGATTTCTGATGAATTCATTCGTTTCTTTCAATAAATGATCGGGTAACACCTCCATGGTCCCTCGAATCTTCTTTTGGAACCAAGATATTGGGTCAAACGCACTAGCACAAACACGAAATTTAATACTGATATAGAAAGCATTTGAGCATTAAGAGCATGTTTAGTTGTGCTTTAAAAGCCAATGTACTTTTAAGTTAATTATTTTTCCAGCCTTGATTTTCAAAAGTCACTTATTTTTACTGGCAAAACTTGCTTTTCTAGTGAATACAGGTAAACTTAAATTCTACAAAAGTATCTTTTAAGCACTAACAAACATGCTCTAAAACCTTTTTCTCCACCTCCAAAACAGATAATGTGCAATTTTACCCATTTCCACACTTTCATTATTTCTTTTTCATGATATTTTGTACCATGGATCATAAGCAGGGCTTACCGATAGACTGGTCTTAGAAGCCCCACTACCAACATCAGAGTGCTTCACTAACCATACTCCTTACAGCAGCATACACCATAATATAAATTGAGACATCTGGATTTTCAATGCTGGTGCAGCTAAAACGTGCATTCGTTCTAGTCCACTCGGGAAGGGACTTCTCAGGATAGGTCACCCATATAAATGCTCACTTCTGGGAGTGGGGAACATCATATGCTCCAGTGATTTATGCAACAAGCGAACTTTATTTATAGAACATAAAATTTCATCAGTTGGTGGTGAAAGCAAAAACGTCTACCTGATAGCCCATTTCAAGAAGAGAAGATAAGAGTTAAACGAAATGTTTTTCCGTGATTGAAAGAAACAAAGTTCCTCACCTTCTCAAGGAGGAACTTCAGTTGATAGTAATCAACTAAGGATAAAAATTCTAGAATCATTTCAAATTTAAGTATACTCCAGGTGTGTCACGAATTAAACTTCAATCACAACCATCCGCTCGCACAGCTCAAACAATGAAGTAATCTAGCTGAATTTGGAACCAAATTAAGATAAAAGGAGAATGGGAAGGGATTCATGATGAAAAATAAGAACAAGAAAACAGATAAGAACAGAGATACAAAGAAGAAGAAGAGTACAACAGCGGAGAAGAAGAAGTAGAAGAAAGGAAAAGAAGCCAGAGGAGAAGCAGAGATTCAGGGAGAAGGGGAGAAAACGATGGATGAAAGGCAAAGCCTCAATTTCAATTCAATTCATCGTCCTTTCCAATTGCAGATATACAACTATATATAGAACAAAATAACCCTAAAGGGCTTTGGGCTAGCCCACTAAGAGTACAAGCCCAACTACATAAAATAAAAGTAAATGGTCCAACCCATAACATCCCTTTCCCATAAATTAACCTTTTCCTCAAGGTTCAAAGTTGGAATGTCTTCTTTGTATGAAATTAGCTGCCTCATTCTCTTCACTACCCTTGGCTTAAGCAAGTAGTGCAAGGTGATATATGCCTCATGGAACTCTAGTGCCTCACTCTTTTCTTCATCCATCTTGTTCTGAGCTCTCACATTTTTTCCAATAAATTCGGATTCTCTATTGCCAGCAAAAGAATTCTTGGTAGAAGGCTTTAGATGTTGAGCTCCTATGAATGTCAACTCAAGGTAGACAAAACTTCATCTCCTATATTTTTAATTTCAGATTCAAAAACAGAGGAATCCCATTGTTTTGACCATTCTTCAAGCATTGTGATTGTGGCATTTAGATCCGTTGATTTCCAAGAAAAATTAAAAAGGCTCTCAACCCACTCATTTTCTACCCTACCGGGTATAACTAAGTAAGTTTTGGTAACAAAATCCCTAAATGATCCTTATTTTCTTCCTTAAAAGATAAGGCTTCATTAAGAATCTCAATCACTGATTCTTCCTTGCAAAAATTTGTCTTCAAATCTAAAATCCTTACCTTAAGATTTTCAGGCGAAATCTTTACATCCCCGACCTGAAGGGACTCAGATTTCTACTGTAGAAGTTGAGCAGCAATCAAACCCAACTCAATATCCATCCTATGTTCCTCAGTAGTTTTAAATGTCTTCTTAATCCCCTGTATCTGTCCCAATTCTATTGGGTCCCTCGTTGAAAACTTCTGTTCTTCATTGCCCAATTTTTCATCCTAGATGAAATGGATACAATGTTCGTTTGTTGAATTAAAGATTGCCCAGATTTAATTCCATTGCTTCCAACCCGAGGCAACATTGGCTGTAGTACGCCTTCAGCAACTTTTATCTCGACTTCACTCTTCCTTTCTTCGATAGTCAGCCAATTCTCCAAAATTCTCAACTCCCTTCCTGATTCTCCTTTAGCTCATAGCCTTTATCTTCATTTGGTCCTAGTTGCTTAATTTTGCAAAATGTCTCAACCACTTCTTCCTCAATTGTTTCTGAAAATCTCTTGCAAAGTTCCTCAGAGAACAAATTCCAATTGCCCTAAGATGATTTGCAATGAATCCATAAAACCATATACAAGCTTTCCCTTCCAAGTACTTTTCAGCAACTTCCAATCTAAGTTCATCGGGAGTTTGAAAAAGTTGGAAATATTTTATAGCTTTCCTTACCCATTACCTAGCTCCTTCTCCCCCAAAAAGTGGAAAAACCATCTTAGGCAGCCTAATATTTCCCTTAAGCCCACTTGTTGTATTAACGCTATTCTCTTTAGCTATTAATTCCTGGCATATATATCTCATTCTCACTATGCTCAACACCAACATCTTCACTTTTAGCAGTGGCTGACTCCTAATTTCACCCCAAACAAGATCTCTTACATGGAATCCATTCTCTCGACCCACCAAATTTTTTTCATTCTTTACTTTTTCATTAGGAGTAACCATAATTTCACTATCCCCATTGACAACACACTTGGTAATTGCAGCAACTGAATCATCATCTATGCTCAAATCAGATGAACTAACCTGCTTGACTAGGCCCTCCTTTGATTCAGAACCCGAATCGCCCATTTGCACATCCAAAGTCTCCACCATTTCTGCAGAAGAACTGTAATGATTGGACTTATCTCTGGAGGCTGATTTAGCTTCGATAATTTCAGTCAACATTGAATCATCTGCTCATGTATTCTATTAAAATCTTCCCTGATGATACCATTTTGTCACGAATTAAACCTCAATTCGCAACCATCCACTCGTACAGCTCAAACAATGAAGTAATCCAGCTGAAACCAGCTGAATTTGGAACCAAATTAAGATAAAAGGAGAATGGCGAGGGATTAAATGATAAAAAATAAGAACAAGAAAATAGAGAAGAACTGAGATGTAGAGAAGAAGAAGAAGAGTACAGCAACAGAGAAGAAAAAGTAGAAGAAGAAAGGGGAAGAAGCCAAGGGAGAAGGGGAGATTCACGGAGAAGGGGAGAAAACGATAGCTGCAAGCCAAAAGCCTCAATTTCAATTCAATTCATCGTCCTTTCCAATTGCAGATATACAACTATATATAGAACAAAACAACCTAAAGGGCTCTGGGCTAGCCCCACTAAGAATACAAGCCCAACTATATAAAATAAAAGTAAATGGTCCAACCCATGACAAGGTGCTATGATTAAATCTATTCATTCTATAGAACTGCCAGAGGAAAAATATTTCATTTAATTTACATAGGAAATTAATTAACAAGGTATAATATGGGCCAAGAGACTTAGCAAACCAGACAAGGAGGTCCATTGTTGATGAAGTCCACTTGTTCAGAAACTAGCAGGTTATCAAACTCTTCCTTGCTCAGTGACGCAGCTTGCTCAACAGCTTCAGGGGTTGAAATGAGTCATCTCCACCCCACACTTCTGCAAGACAACCCTGCATTAAGCCACATTTATCTTTTCACAGTATATTTGTGTTTTGTAATTGATAAAGGTCTTCCTTTTTTCCTGTCTCCTGTGTTTGTGATTTTGTCGTGAGAAGAAAGAATATTACACAATTACACGCTAACCCCAGAATCAAATTACAATTTTTGATGAACACAAACAACTCAGGATAATTAAGTATAAATGCATCTTCTGCAGCCTCGTCATATTCAATATCCCATTTTATGGTGGAGACATCTAAAAGATTTGAAGCATCAGAAGCAAATTACTTATTTACTTTTGAAGAAATCATAGTCAATCAATTCATGGAGTTATAAAATGGAGAAATTAAAAGGGTGCCAGATTGCTTAAGTACTTTCTCCTCCTCCAGTCTTTCCTTTTTTTTTCTTCCAGTTTCACTGAAGAAAGCTTTAATTTGATGTGATCTGGCAACTACTACACATGCACCCTGAACGAATTAAGAATCTAAGAAATGAACATAAGAGACAGAATTAGTTAGAATAGGAGATCTATTTTAACTTGTACTCTTATCTTATATTCTAGCCTAGCTAGGAATTATTATAGGAGCAGGATAACTTTTTACTTTTCCTTTTACAGAAAGGATTGCACTAGTATATATAGGATTGGTTGTATGAATAAACTAAGTTCAGCCTAATTTCAATTTGTTATCAGAGCAAGAGCAAGTTTGATCAGACTTGGGTTAAACTTGAAATCACTTCCATTCTCCGGCGAGCGGCTCCACCAAGATTTTTTGGTTTCCTCTTAGTTTGAAATCAGACTTCTAAATTAGGGTTTTGAATTGAGCCTGAAATTGGAAACTCTCTTCAAGAACCAACCAAAAACAGTTCTGAAATCAAAGAAAAACGAGCTGTACCTAACCACTGGTAACCCTAAATTGATGCTTGGGAGATTTCTTTTTGGGTCTTCTACTACTAATATTTGGTAGTTGTCAGATCTTTTATCGTGGTGGCTGTTGTTCTTCAGCAATTTTTCCTTGAGCCACAATGAGGCGACCATTCTCCTTGTTGCATGACCCTTTTCCTTCATCAACCCAGCCCTTTGGTATGCCTTAGGATTTTGCACTACCGTTCTACTGTTTTTGTTTCCAGATACACCAGGCGATCCTTCCCAATGTTGTGTGACCCTTTGTCTTGGTCGATCCAACCCTATGGTACCCTCTCAGATAAAAAGCGTCTGGAATTCTTCAGAGCATTTCCCCCTCCATTAAAGTCCCTTTGTAACCATGACACAAATTTCCCGTTTGACAACCTAGAAATGCGGTTGATATATGCCATCCTGCAGAATCAAATTTAAGGAGAAACTGATAGATATATTATGATTTTATGCAGTGTTAGAATGACATTATGTTTGCAAGCTTTCTATCTGCGACGAAGTTCAAGTTGTTCGGGAGTCTCTGTTTGCTTCACAACAAGAACATGGTAACCCTGATACCTTTAAAACGCCTATGACTAAAATTAAACGAGCCAATGTAAGAAAAATGGTACGGAGGTTTAACTAAGAGGTGCAGATTAATTGTTTATCATTAGAGATTAAATGCTTTTATGAGACACGACCATTTGTGCCAGCTTCTCTACATTCATTGAGAAGTTCTTTGCTGGAAATCCACAGTGATGTTGCTCTCCCTAACAGGACGAGTGGCTATCAGATACAAGTTTGAAAGTCAATGTACCCCAAAACAGCATTATGTCTCTCCATACGAGTCACAACCCATGAAATCTTCAATCTCTTCTAGCCATTACACAACTATACCGTTTATTATGCTCAACACAGTCAATTACCTTTATAATACCGCAAATCAAGTTCTTTGGTTCTCAATATGTACATCCATTTCTAAAAGCTCATAATAACTTGCCCACCTGGTTTAAAAAAAAAATGGAATGATTATGGTTTAATTGGACAAGCAAGGGTACTAAAATCAACATGGAAAAGGAGCTTTGTGTATCCTGTATGACCTATGCTATCTTAAAAAAAAACAGAACCTTTTCCATATGCTTCGACTTCATTTCCCTCCATTTCCTCTAAAATCAACAGAATGCTCCCGATAAATTACTTCATGAAATCTTCAATTGTTGAACTACTAACCAAATTATTCAATTACCTGTCTCCCTTAACAACTTTTAAGAGTTTCATTCCGAGTGCATATGCCAAGGGAGGAGGAACGGCGTTACCAATCTGCCTGTGTTTCTGTAAAACGTTACCTGAGAACTGATACTATCCAGGAAGCCCTGCAAAAATTTTAAAGTTAATCAGTCTGATAATTGAT